ACGACTCGAAACATGTTTCTTATAGGTTTTCGACAATGCTCTTTCCAGTGGCATCGTTTTTAAATATTGAGAAAGTTTTCTGAAGGGTTTTCCAGAGACCGGATCTCTGGAAAACTCCTTAGAAAACCTTTTCAAAACCCAACTCTCATACCATTAGAAAGAGGATCATGAAAAACCTATAAAAAAATGGTTCATGAAATTTTAGTTCACTCATAAAGCTAAAGTCCGCCTGGTCTAGCAAAAAATGCCCACTGTGGGCAGTAACACAACTACCAGCTCATTATGTTATCATTGAGAATCTCATTCAATCCAGTAAACAACATTTTGAAGACACCAAATCAATGATTAACGATCATAAAGAGCATCTTGATAATCATATGCGCATTATGGATAAACATAAAGAACAATTTGACAGCCATATGAAGAGTATTGATAAACATCACCAAACATTTAAACTAACCTATTCAATATTGGGTTTGTTCATCATCGTATTACTATTGGTATTACTTATTATTCTATCTTGTTTATGTAAAAAATATATACATTGTAAAGACTTAAGTCATGCTCAACGCTTCTTAGATCTAATAAGATTTAATATACAACAACAAGCACCAGCACAACGTTCAAATACTACACAAGATATAGCAACAATTGATAATCATGCATTAACAAGAGATTTGTCAAATGCTTTCGCTTAGATTTTAGCTGAACATCGTGGAAGATAAACTTCTTCATTTAGTCCTGTTTTCTTTGTATTGTTTTAATTTTCTTCTGTCTATTTATGTTCTACTTTTTCTTATTTTTTACTTTTATTTTGTTTTTCTACCAATGCAGTTGAATTATTATCGGCTTATAATGAGTTCGCTCGCTGGCCCTTTTCTTTCGAGAATAAATTACAGTCATACAAAAAAAACCAAAAAAGATGGTTTTTATCATTCATCAAATACCAGCATGCAGTTTGTTTGTGTATATATCTTATACATAATATTAATTGTTTGAACATTGTACACTAGTATTTCCAACTAAATCAGTTTTATCACATAACACAAAAAACTTCCATGTCTTCCAGGCCGATTTCCTTCAATTTTTGATATCATCTTGGTTTAATGTCTGTTAAACTTTCAACATTTGTGATGTCAATCAGCAATATAACACCATGACATGTACGAAAATGATTTTTCCATACGTATTCTTATCTCAGCTCCTCCGGTATATCTAATATACCTCTAATCACAGCATATAGTCATCATATAGTTTATCGAGATGTAATATAGTAATATTGGATCCTAGAGTTGCGGGATATATTTTTTCTGGTACTCTATCAGCAAACTGTAAATGTTTAACTATTGTTGTTCTATCAACACATGGATCACCTAACAGGCTAATGCTTATTTTTGATTGAGTATAGTTTATGTATCGATTTGGTGCATCACCAGTCTTAATACTAAGTTCACAAACTGAGTCATTCCAGTACTGATGTTTCTCTTGTTTCATTTTAAATTCTTCTATAGCATTTTTTAAATTATAATTAATAATAAAGACTTTATTGTTGAGTATTTTATTCGTCATTGGTGATATATTGCGAGAAGACAGCCGCTTTTCTAACTCCGACTTTTCATAGCTTCGACATAACAGGTACATTCATTAATTGATGGGTGACGGGACTCAGATAATCTTTTGGAATATTCATTTTGTCGTACAAATAAAAATGAAAAACGAAACTTTCTTCTGTCGGTAAAAACAAAGTAAGGCAATGTATATGTTGTAGTTACTATTATTTTTGTTTATTATATACTTTACCCTGAGTGCGAGATTGTTGTAAAGTGTTTGAGGGCAACGACTTACTTATCAAAAACTTGATTATAATTGCCGTTGTTTTAAACTTCATTTTATTTAGTTGATATTTCGACCTTTAACTGGTCATTTTCAAAACGTTACAAAACTAAGTGTACAAGAACCGAAAAACAAAATTTCTTTTTTTTTCTCCTACATAATAATGCAGAACGAAAAAGAGAAGTCAAAACATAACCTACATCATTCTTTTTTTATGTATGCGCATATGAAAAAAGAAGGTCCTAGCACCTTTATCAATACTTGATTTTATAGTATTCTTATCCTTGATTATTCTGATTTTACAAGTCATCCATCTCCCTTCTTTTTGTTTTTCTCAATGCCGTCGAGATAAACATACAATGAAACAGATCGATCTGTCCCATTAAGTGGCGGAGCTGCAGTGCGAATCAGAAGTGACCGCTTGACAAGCAGCCGATATCTATGTTGTTCTGATATAAGCACACGGAAATCAGTGTCTTTCATAACATGTCCTGTATTTTGATAATGTTTACCTATGGCTGACTTAGATTGTAATTCTCTCGAATTTGAAATTTCCTTTATATTCGTCCGAGTGCTTAGTGAATCTTCAAAGTCGTCTTGATCTAATTTCTGAACAACTTTCTTTAATTTATCAGTTTGTAATCGCGTCACAGGACCTGATCGAGACTGATTTGGCACTTTGTCTTTAAGGCCTATAGCGATCTTCATAACTTTCTTAGGTACTTCTTCTGTTTTTATCGTGATTAATTTTCCTTGGTCTTTCAAATGTTCACTTATGCGGGTCTTCAGATGACGACAGTTTTTACTTATGTACGTCTCACCGCAAACAGAGCATTTGGCTTCGTAAACAAGGCCTGACTTCAGATAAGCAGGTATTGGATCTTTCGGACTGAAACCTAATCCAATCTTAGAACTAACATCATAGATAATTCTAACTTTTTTCTTCGGATAAATTTTGTCGACTGCTGCGACAATACGTTTACCGTACGAGTGACTGCACAAGCCGAAATAAGGCACTCGAAATACTACATTTTCAGTTGCAGATGTCTCAGTAGTATTTACAGTAGTAGTTCTCGTAGAATACGTTATACCCAGTTGTTTACTAATAATAAAGTCGACAAATGATAGAGGATAGCCGTTCTTCTTAGCTACGGTTCTAATAAAATTAAACTCTTTATGAAGAGTGCCATAGGAGGAGCAAATCTTTATGGCACGACAAGCCATCGTTGTGATTGCATTTTGTTTGTATCTTTTCGGAACAAAACTGTCCCATTTAGTCAGAAGCAGGGTTGCCAGATGTCCAAGGATATTTTCTTTGACCGTCTTCGAATGGACTTTTCACTTTTGTATTACGCTTCCAGTTTAACAGAACTTTAGCGTTTAGTAACTTTTCTTATATGAGATTTCACATCAGAAAAAGCACTAAACGCAGAATTGAAAATTAGAGTCTAGTTGAAGGGTCTTTGAACATTTTTTCCTTGCGTATTTATTAATAAATGTATATTAAGTATTAGTTAATATACATACGTTTAGTTACGTATATATTTATTAATAAATACGAAGGGAAAAAAGTTCAAAGACCTTTCAACTAAATTATTAACTTCGCATACAATATGAGCATTAATCACGAAAATTAGAATGAATACAAATTTAATGTGCAATAATTTTCATGATTATTATTATGATCTATGATTTTGAATAACAAAGACGTCTCTAGTAAGAGCATTCGTGGAATGAAAATATAAACACATTAGTAAAAAATAACGTCTGAAGTGACCATTTGGTCGGTTTTGTGTGACAAAAGTTAGTTGTATTAAATTTTATGTTTCGACATAGTAATATTAGAAAAACCAGAATAAAAGAATGTACTCACATACCTTTAATTTTCTCAATGACATTGCACGACAAACAATGTGTTTTGTGTTGTTCCCTTTTGTAGAAAAAACAGTCCCTCTCTACGTCTCCCTTTTCCCAAAATTTGTACCCCCTTTACTTTTTTTTAGTTGGTATCCCTGGTCAGAAGGCCAGAGAAGGTTTTTTTCCTAAGAATTTTAATAAAGGTTATAACGAAAATAAAAATATGAAAACTAAAACCAACAGTGACACAACTACAGAGTTTAAGAAGGGAACGTGATCGCGACGCGAATATAAGATTTCATCGCGATCGCGCCGCGACATGCGAGACATCATAGCGAACACGGTAGCGCCGCGAATGAGTCGCGAAAGGGGACATAAGTTGCAAGTGGCGATTACATTAGGAAATATTCAGAATCAAAAGTCTCTTTTTTACGTCGAATTAAGATAGGTTCTTAGTTTTTGCTTTATTGATGTATTATAAGAAAGCCTAAATCAGAGATGCCGCCGGTCAACAAGATCTTGACCGCTTCCGGCCGGTTACCGGTAACCGGTGCAAATCTGGCGACCGGACAGGATGGGCCGGTTGACCGGCTATTTTTCAAAAATTTTGACCGGTAAGCGATCGGTTTTTTTTGCTTACTATTCGATATAAATATGCTATTTTCTGTTATATTTTCTAGTTATAGGCCGAGTCAACCGGGACCGGTCCAGCACTTTGACCGAAACCGAACCCGACCGGGAACGGGCGCCCGGTCCGGTTGCATCTCTGGCCTAAATAACATTGGCGAAAGAATCCACTCTATTCAGATCTGTTTTAATATTTGTTTGCTAGGATAAAATAATATGCACCTGACATATATAGTGCTTAACTATCGTTGAAGAAACATAAGCTAACTTGTGTTGAGAAAATGAATGACGTGTCCGTACCACCTCGACTGAGAACAATTATTAATAATTCATATTCTTTGTAGAAATGACATATACGTTTCGCAGGAGTTAGTCTTCAGCTTCAAATTATTCCTAAGAAACTAATCAGAACTCATTCCGTCTTCAGAAAAAATATTCATTTTTCAACGGCAGAGAGTGCATCAATAACCTTGTTGTTCGACAATACCAGCGCAAAACGCACATATATCTATTATCAAAATTGAGTGCTTCAGTACGACAACAGATATTTCGCACATCGGTTCCACTTTGTCTGCCGTAGGTTTGTTTCTAAAATGTCTGTAAGTGTAAAATAATACAGGAACTCTTAGTTGAACTGTTAAAGCACATCTAAAATTTTTTGCTCTTTATTTCTAATTCTGAACATTTTTTGAGCATGTAGGTTCCTTACTTTTTTGTTTCTACAAAAGTAACAATAATTACTTGATTGATACATCCACTATTTAAAGATGGAGATACAACTTTACCGACAAATTATAGACCTATTACACTTCTTCCCTCTATGTCTAAAATTCTGGAAAGATTGGTTTATAATAAGCTATATGAACATCT